CGAATCCATAACCCCACTGGGAGCATTGAATTTTTGAACAAAAAGGATTATTTCAATTCAATATTTAGTAGTTATTTTAACTGACTTGACTGATTTTATTATTATAAAAAGACGAGATTTGAAAAAACATATTTAATGTTAAAGTTTCTTTACTAATAATTTATAACACTGAAGTTACTTGCCATTATATTAATACTTTAGAAAATTTGTTATTATTTTGGTTATTTTAATTTTATTATTAAATACCAGACTGTTTTGACAAATATCGTTTGAGTTTCATTAATAAATATTTAAAAATAACTAATTATTCTAAAAATTGGGTTGTTTTTCAGTATCACAACGATTACTTCCGATTCAAATTAAAAAAAAATAGCATCACATTTTGCTTAAATGTTGATTTCCTATTAGAATAACATTTTTGTCACTTTTTTACTAAAAATTTTGATTAATAAATAAAAAATAACAAAAACCCTTTATTTCATTTAGTTTTACTACCTTTTGTAGGTATACCTGAATTAGATCTTTAGTTTTTTGTTCCTTTTACGCCCTTAGTCTCTGATTAAATTGACTTGTACTACTCATTGATGTACAAGATTAGACCTTTGCTACACATCTGACTTTATCATAACCAATTTTTTGTGTCTGTAAAGCACTTTTGTTCAATTTTTGTGGGCTGTAAAGGACTCTCATTTTCCTCAATAATTAAGTTAGGTTTATTTTGTTAATTTATAAGGATAGACACTATAAAAATAGTTGAGCTTTCTTTTGACATTATGAATATAGTACTTTGTTTGAAAAAGATATTAGACAAAGACAATTTTTAAAACAAAAAAAGCTAACTACACTACACAATACAAAAATCGACTAAAATATTTACAATAATATCAACTGTCAAAATAGCGTCGTTAAAGGAGCGCCTTTTTGACCCTTTATTATTTGATAGACTGATCAAGAGCTATTGTATCACAGAGCGTTGTATGCAAACGACGCTGTAGTTTTTGAGTTATAAGAAAGTGACCATATTACCCTCACGTACTATAGTTAGTTTTTTTTAAGTTGATTTTTCGAAGTGTTGCTAATTATTGCCAAGGCTTGTTTGTTAATTTTTTCTATATTAGTTATAGTATACGACATTGTGTATTTGTCTCTGTCCTCCTCCTAGTTTAGGTTTTATAACGCGGCAAAGCTAAAGGTGACCATATTACCCTCACGTACCTTAGTTGTAATTCTTAAACTACTGGTTCAAATTAAATGAAATTTGAAATATTCCATGTTTATACAATGTATGCTTGGTTACTGAAAATTCATGCTTCTAGTTTTATCCACAACGAAGTTATAGGGGGTCTAAAATTGCCTGAACTGCTTCGAGAAAAGGATTTTATGGCCGTGCCGCTTTTTTGCTCGACTTGGCGGGGGCAATGCCATGCCCCCAGATGAAAGAACTTTCTGGAACTATCGACACCTAGTCAATCGGGACCGATATCTACTCGAATATTCTAGATGTTTCTACAGTAGAAGGTTCTGGAAACTATCTGAGGCCCTATATAAGGCCGGTATAGACTGCAATCGAGGCAGTATTGAATTGGCGATATAAGCGAATACTTCGAAGCGATACAACTGCGAACTAAAGTGATCAGTAGTACAATTGTGTTTTATTATTAGTGTGGTTTAGGTTGTAATTAGTGATCTGTAATTAAAGTGTCAATATTGGTAATTCAATCGGCAGTTTTTAATTTTTTCGAACCCCAAGCTCGTAACAATAATATAAACCTTTGTTAAAGTAAAATCTGCTTTCTTTAATTAAAGTATTTTTCGCAAGAACCTGTTCATTTAGATGTTATACTCATATGAGCTATGAAACCAGGACTGTCACAAATATCTTAATATGTCTGAAAATATGAAATTTATCTTTAATTAAAAAGTCCTGTTTCTGTTAAAAAATACGCTATCAGCGCCGCTAGTGGTGAAAAGCGTTTGAATGATATCGTCATATAACCATATCATGAAATAGCAACGCCCCGGGTTACTAATTACCTACATACAAAATTTCATGTAAATTGTTCCAGTAGTTTTTGCGTGAATCCGGAATACACAGACAGATAGATAACCAGACAAAAATTCTAATAATCACTAATTTGGCTTCAGAATCCTTTGTTTAGTCCCCTGGACTTGTGTTTTTTTTTTCAAGAATATATTAGAATTACAAACACGACTTTTCTACAAATTTATCACATGTATAGATATTCATTTTACCACAAACACCTGTCACAAAATAGTTCGCACACAAATAACAGCAAAAATAATAATATTTATTTATTTTACCACAAACATCTGTCACAAAATGGTTCGCACACTAACAACACCAAAATAATAAATAAACAGTAAATGTTAATGATTTGTTATATTTACGCGAAGACTACACATAAAATGAAACTAATTTTTTCGGATTTTATCGCGATTAATTTAACTTTTTAATTCCCGACGTTTCAGGTGCTTATTGAAAATTTAAAAAATTTAATATTCAAAAACTGAAGGTAGCCGGGCTATGACATCGGGACGTCAAACACCTCAGTCCTCCCCGTGATCATGGGTGCTGTAAAGCACCCGAAACGTCGGAAATTAAAAAGTTAAATTAAACGCGATAAAATCCGTAAAAATTAGTAAATATTATTCACAATTTTGCTATTTGTGAATTTTCAACACTTATGAAGCTTTAAAAAGATCCCAGTCTGTAGCTTGTGCTGAAAAATAGGTAACACACATGTAATATTCTGCCATTGTGCTGCATAAAAGGTAACAGCCACTACAATACTCAGCCAATTTTCAGCTCTTGGAGTGACTGTTACCCTTATTAATGCTTATATAATGCGATTATAGTTACAATTGTTCAGCTAATAGTTGTATACTTTCTGCTCAAATAAGAGTAATATCAGGTGAATCAGCGCTGCTAACGCTGTTATTCAGCAGGCTTGTGCAGCTTAAGATTCTATTGTAGACGGTGATTTAGATGAGACGTAGCGCGTCGGTGTTACTTGGGTGTACTACCAGTTTTGAATAAAGGTGTGACTTTGCTACATGTTTCATTAAATCAGGAAACAACTGATTCAAGGCTTGTATTAAAAACAATGACTAAATAAAGTGCAACTATATCTATTATGGGCGTAACACTGTATAAAGATTTATATAATATGCAGATTAGCAATTATATACAAGGTAAGCTTTATACTGATGGCCAAAGGTGCTTTAATAGAGTCATTTCCTAGGAAATGTATGCATTTCTTGGGCATTGCCTGCAATTCTTAAATGGTACTAGGAAATGTATAAAAATAAACATTATACCGTAGAATTAGTGATTGAAATGTCATTATATAAAAGTGCGTATCAAGATATATCAGCGACAGTAGGTTGAAGTGCGGCCCAGTAGCCAACCTAGCCGCCCCAACTAGCATAAAGTGATATGGCGGATAAACTAGTAGTGGAAAATAAAACGATCACATATTATACACAATTTAAATATGTAACTTAAAAAATACAAATATTTCATCTGCAGACAATTAAAATATCTCTTTCTGTGTACTTCATTATCTTTGCACTTATTTGGTTATCACTAGCACGATTTTGAAATTGCTACTTATATGGTTTTTTTTAACTTTGTATTGGAATCACAAACCTTATAATTGTAGCCGTGTGCAACAATTTCTGATTCTGCTACATGTATACTTGGCACTGCACTTGTACCTTATAAAATGCGTTGGCAGCAGTAAGTGTGATTTAACATGTCTATTTCTTCTTTTTTATATATTAAATTTTTCAAAAAAAAAGTAAAATTGCTGGCTATACATATACCAGCCATAGAGGCTGAATTCTAAATCTTCTAATGTTCAGACGTGCTTATTACATTAGCATATTTATTACTTAGATATTTATTGAAACTTAAACATAATATTTGATGTACCAAAATAATTTTCATATTTTACGCCGTGGAAATGCCAAAAAGCATTAAGTCCGCAAATTGTAATCCTTTTAGCAGCATTATTATATAAATGCATCAAAACAATTTATTAAAAAATTTTATGCGAATTTAATAAGTCTGTTCATCATCATCAACATCATTATTGCAGCTCTTCACTCTGCTGATCATATACCGTCGTCAAAGAAGCCTCAAAAATGGTCCATGGTCCTGTGCCACCTGCATTCAACTTCCTACATGTCTTATCAGGACGCTTGTACCTCATCTAGTAGGTGGCCGCTATTTGGCTGACCGGCACAATACTGCTGTCGGACGACGGTTGTTGGTTTTTCGAGCTATATGGCCAGTCCCTTACCACTTCAGCTTACTGATCCTTTGGATTAAGTCGGTTACTCTGGTTCTACTACGGATAGCATCGTTACGATTTCTGTCACGCAGAGCAAGTCTGAGCATAGCCGTCTTTATAGCTCGCTGAGCAACTTCAAGCATTTTCATACGACCAGGAGTGAAGGACCACTCTCTCTTAGATCCATTCAGTCATCACTGGAGTTGTGTCTCAGGCTTATATATGTGACGACGTGTCTCGTAATCTCCTTAACACTGCTGAGATGATCTTGGTCCGTCATCTCTTGTTCGAAGTTCCATTTCTGCCTGAGTTCATCGGGGTAGGTTACACTCTCTTACCTATTTCTGCCAATCGACAGTGTGTGCACTGCTGTGTTTTAGAAAGAGATTATGGAGGGCGAGTGTAATTACAGGCAGTGGGATATTCCATCTTAGTCCTCAGTGGTGACAACACGTCTGTAGGATTCTTTATTTGAAGTTGGTTGCAGATGTCCATGTTCTGCAGTCGCCACTTACTTTTATACTTACATTTTCAATAATGCTCTGTCCACTTTATTTCATTCAAATTTAATGTTTATTTGTGGATAACGGCGCTGGAAACCTAACTTAGGTTATTTACAAAATGTTATTTGTTTATTATGATCATTATTATGTTATTGTTAGTTGTACTAAAAATAAGGAGAATATGTTTTGTTCACTTTTCAGTGTTCTGTTACTTTTGTATACAGTGGTATCGGAATGTCAAAGTGCTAAGACGCAAAATTTGAAAAGAAAATTCCCAGATGACTTTCGTTTTGGAACAGCTACAGCTGCCTATCAGGTTGAGGGAGGTTGGAATGAAGGGGGTAAGGATTTTACTAAATAAAACTAAGTGATTAATGCTACTAACTACGTTTGCGGGTTTGAGTCACACTGCAGCAATATGGCTGCAGCACGAATTAGCGGCTCGACTGGGAAAGTGCCACGCTCTCACAGAATACCAGCTTAAAATCGGCGCATAACACTGCCGTTTTTTGTACAGTATCGAGGCATTCCGTCTTAATTCTAAGAGGTTTACTTCTTACGCATCAGCATCTTGATTTTTATTTATATATTTAAATTTTTATATGTTATATCTATCTATTGATGATGGATGTATTTTTGTTAAAGCCACAACCTTCACTTACTAATCAGTTAAATAAATGAGGTAATATTTACAGGTAAAACTGAAAGTATTTGGGATCATCTAACTCACACAAAGCCATGTGCCGTTAAAGACTGCTCAAACGGTGACATCGCTGCTGACTCGTATCATTTGTATAAGAGAGATGTCGAAATGATGCGCGAACTTGGCCTAGACTACTACAGGTTTTCTTTATCATGGCCGCGAATTTTACCCACTGGATTCCCGGATAAGATTAACGAGGCGGGAGTTCAATACTACAACAATTTGATCGACGAAATGCTCAAGTACAACATTGAACCTGTGGTCACAATCTATCACTGGGATTTGCCACAAAAACTACAGAAGATGGGCGGCTGGACGAATCCTTACATAATAGACTGGTATACAGATTATGCGCGAGTAGTTTTCGAATTATTCGGAGAAAAAGTGAAAAATTGGATCACTATTAACGAACCAGAGCAAATCTGCTATTTTGGATACGGTAGTAACATGCTTGCACCATTACTGAACATCACAGGAGTAGCTGACTACTTATGTGCCAAGAACTTGTTGTTAGCTCATGCCAGAGCGTATCACATTTACAATGAAGAGTATCGGCCAAAACAAGCAGGCACTATTTTCATTTCACTGAGCGCTCAATACTACGATTATGAATTCAAAGAATTTAAAGATGCCGCCGAAGACGCTAACGATTTTACAGTAAGTTGTGGTGAAATTATGCTTCTATTATTGTTATTATATACTGCACGTTACTTTGCTTACGTTTTCTATTTATTTCACTAAAAATATAGTGTTTTCGTGAACTTTGCCATTTAAATGAATCATTACGTAGTATGAACATAAGGCATTTATCTTACAAGCCAAAAACTTGGGTTAAGGTTTTCATTGATTACTAAAAAAAACAAATTATGTTACAGTGGGCTATATATTCTCATCCAATATTTTCAAAGAACGGTGATTTCCCTTCATCTGTAAAGAAAAGGGTTAAAGCGAAGAGTATTCAACAAGGCTTCCCTAGATCCCGACTACCCGAATTAACCCCTAAAGAAATTGAATACATCAGAGGCAGTTCCGATTATTTTGGATTAAACCATTACTTCACGTTCTATGTGTATAGGAACGAATCTGTCAAAGGCTTATATCCATCCCCATCTACGAGCGATGATCTTGGAGTTGCAACATATCAGAAAAAAGATTGGAAAGGTGATCTTAACAAGGTAAGGTTGCTTACTTTACGAGTTTCCTCCAATGTTAATGTTAAGTCAACAATCATTAGGAAATTCAAAGATGTGCTTGGGAAATTGGCCAAAGTTTACAACGTTAGTTGCTTTATAATGTTTAAAACCATAAACAGACTTTTTCTCACATTTGTTTAAAATAAATAAATTAATTTAATTAATGTACATGATTGATGACGACCGTCCAAGTGCGAGACTTCGGGTACATACTGTAATTGTCAATCTGCCTGCCAACTGTGATAATTAACGTTAATCCTGCCTACAACAGGAGAGACCCACGTTCAACAGTGGACTTCTACGGACTGAAGGATATTAACACTTTCACCGTTCGATTTGCAGACACAATAGCAATGACCCATGTGTGGGTCACGGGACAGTGAAAGCGTTAAGATAACGAACTAAAAATTGCAACCAAGTATGGTCTAATATCATTATATTAACACAAGACGTCATAAATCTAACCTTACCATTGCAGTCTATCAAAAGTTCGTTTCTGAACATAGGCCTCCCCTACAGCTTGCTGCAGTATCGTTGTTACTACGTTTAGCAAGCGAGTTGGCAATTGATGTTTTTCTGCTGACTTCCAAAAAGGAGACGGTACTAAATTCGACTGTATTTTTTTTTGTTTTTTTTTAATGTGTGTTACGGAATAACTTTTTACTGGGTGAACCGATTTCGATGATTCTTTTTTATTTGAAAGCTGATACTTCTTGTGTGGTCACATATGAATTTGATCAAGGTCAAACCAATAGTTTTTGAGTTATTCTTAATAACTTATATTAAAGTCTGCTGTACAAAATTTAAAATTATAAATTATTGATCATATTGAGTTGTTATGAGGAAGATGCCACTGCTCCTTTTCTATTTAATTTCCTCCTGCCGCCGCCTCTGAGGGCACCCACGCGACGATATATGGTAGTGGATTTTCTTACGCCGCTACTACACGGCAAAAACTAAAAATCTTTTGTTGTACACAATTATTGTGTAATTAGTTAGAAATGAATCTGCATCATTTAATACCACCAAAAATGATCAATCAAATCTCGTTTTTGAAATCTTGACGACATCTATAAAGGTAATTCTAGCCCACGGCTGGTTACTGGCCTGCTCTCCTTTCTGTGAGAGTTTTAGGGTCAGTAAAAATCCACCGCGCGACAAATTCATGTTGGTTCTAGAATAGATTAGAATATTTTTTTATTCGATATCGGTTACAAGTGATTGTCACTGGTTCGGGAAAATCCTCTGTCCTGGAAATAACCAGCAAGAAACCTAGCGGGATTTTGCTTTCAATGTAAAATTATACAATAAAAATACAAACAACTTCGAAGTGACCACCCAACATTCAATTTTCGTATTATGTCTTCGCACTTTAAATTGTAATTAACAATTTCGTTTGTGCCAGTGGAAATCGAACAAGGTTGCTCGCATACTGTGTAATACAACGAGCGCTTTTCCCTGAGCTAGCAAGGCTGTCAGGGCCCACTAACAAGAATATGATCAAGGAATATTTCAACAGTAGTTAACATTTGTCGATATTGAGTCATGGTAGGCTATCTATGTAAATATTATACATTCTTGTTTTTAATTTGTTCGCACGTTTTTGGCTGTTTCTGTTATTTAATTTTTCTTCAATATAAATTATTAAGAATAACTCAAAAACTATAGGTTAGACCTTAATCAAATTTATATGGGACCGCATGTGAAGCACCAGCTTTCAAATAAAAAAAGAGTCATCGAAATCGGTTCACCAAGTAAAAAGTTATGAGGTAACATACATAATATAAAAAAACATACAGTCAAATTGAGTACCGTCTTCTTTTTGAAGTCTGTAGAAAAATATGGTAGATCTTACAGACCATCCCTGGAACTTCCCGCTAACTTCAAATGCAAAGCGCTCCAAATTACACCAATTATGAATAGATAATTTATTTTATATATTTTTATTATTATATATATTTTTATATAGTTTATTACATAAGACAAGATCTGAGAAGAAATTAAAAAGTTATTTGAAAAAAAAAATACTTTTTTCGAAATTTTTCGTTAACGATTTCTCTTCAACGCATCAACCGATTTTGATGCGGTTTGCAGCAACCGACGTAGTTTTAAAAAAAAATTGTATTGAAAATTTTATTTTTGAGATTTCTCAAAATTTACCAGTCCGAATCGGTTCAATTGATTTGGAAAATCTAAGTTTAGTGAAGCCTTTTCGAACGTCGCCGAGTTCGTTCAAATCGGTGAAGCCATTCATATGTTATGAGAGGGTATATATATCAATATCAACACTTCGAGATCTGAGAAACCTCGATTTTCGAAAACTGTGGTGAAACCAATAACTTCCCGATTTTTTTAAAATTATTGATTTTCATAGCGGAAAATTAAAAATGTAATGAATATGTATGAATTTTATAGAAATGATATCGTAATCATATTAAATGAATAGCTGAAGTTTTCATTTATCTTAAAAATACTTTTAGGATCACATAAGTATAATTTAAAACCAATTTTTACTCAGTATTTTTCCAAATAGCTTTGATTATATTCTTTCAAGATAGTACCGTTGGGATTCTACAAACTTTTGACAAAAATAAGGAACGATTATGATAATCCACCTGTTATTATCACGGAGAACGGCTTCGCAACAAAAGGGGGATTGGATGACGATGATCGCGTCACTTTCTTCAGGAGTTATTTAAATGCTATGCTCGATGCCATCGACGACGGATCTGACATTCGATCTTACACGGCTTGGAGTATGATGGACAATTTTGAATGGCTCCAGGGTTTCAGGTATGTAGCACCTACAACAACCAACGTAATTACCTTCCAAATACACGGTTCGAAGTTTATTACTATGTTAAACAAATGAGAAGTTATAGCTTTTGCCGTGCTGCTCCAAAGTGTTGGTGGACTTCAAATGCCCTAGAAGTATTTTATTTCTCAGACATTCAGGTTGATGATGTTGTTGGGCGCATAGTATAAAAATACGATAGGCGCTTAGCCCAGTTATTACTCTGGGGCTAAGAATTGGCAAACTCCAAATATGTATTTACAACAAAATATTAGATGGAATAATAACATTAAATGTGGCTCTGCTGATAGGAAGTACAAACAAACTACAAACGCAACGAATATGGTAAATCAACCCCACAACGGGAGGCCGGTTTACAGCAGTGGACTTCTACAAAAATTCGAAAGTAAATTTTTTTATAAAACAAAGGTGCCAAACGAGCACAAAGTCCACCTCACACACCACATTTATTCTCGATTATGTGGTGTGTGAGGTAATTAGGAATGAGGTGATAGGATAAAGTGAATTAGGAATCAAAATGCAGATGCGTTTTCACCCACGAGGACTAAGATGGAATGCCTCGTTTCCAGTAAAACGGATCTCCGGTTATCTACACTCACCATACAAAACAGAGCAGTATTAAGCTGCTATTTATTTATATATTGTTTATAGGATAGGGTGACAAACGAGCACACAGTCCCCCTGATGGTAAGTGGTTGCTGTGACCCATAGACATCTACATTTATCCTCAATAAAGAATCAAAATGCAGATGTGAGGACCCCGTGAACCCGTGAGGACTAAGATGGAATGCCTCTTTTCCAATAAAATGGGTCTCCGGTTCTCTACACTCATCATACGAAACACAGCAGTGTCAAGCAGCTATTTTACGCTGGTATGCTGTGAGTGCGTGGTTCTTTCCCGGTCGAGCCGACCCATTCGTGCTACAACCATAATATAGCTGCAGCGAGAATGTAAATAATTTACTACTTTAAAAAAATTACTCACAAAAAACTGTTTTTAAGACGTTTGTGCCCAGCATTGGGATGTATTTAAGCTGTAATTTTTATTTGCAATTTTCAATAGTGAGCGGTATGGCTTGTACGAGTTAGATATCAAGAGCCCCAATCGTACGCGCACGCCGCGCAAGTCTGCCTTCGTGTACAAGCAGATCCTGCGCACGCGCGAGCTCGACTGGCAGTACGAGCCCGACACCGACGTTATGACCATCGATAAAGGACACTAAAATATTTAAAAAAATTATTTCTTTTGATTTATTACATTGAATATATGTCACCAATAGTCAAAAGTCCGTTCTGATTAATTCTTTAGATTTTGAAAAGAAAACCTTTACCCAAGATAAAACTATTTATTTTAAAAATGCATTTCTTTACAATTATATGTTGAATAAACTTAAAAGTAAAATGGAGGCGAAGGAAAGGTCTTGGCTTGTAGTGTAATGTATAGTGTTCCTAACAAAGCCTTAATAAAAAAGGACTTAATAAAAAGGACTACTTTTAAAAACATCTTAGGTTCCTAAGGCATTTTTGCTCGATTTTTTCCTATAATTAAACGTATGAAATGTTTATATGTATATGTTTAGATATGAAAAAAAAAATAGCAGAAACTTATTACTTTATTTCATTTTCAATCATACCTTAACTATTAAGTTACTTATAAAAATAAAAACAAACGATTATTTGGCGGATAAGGTTGCATGAAAGTTAAAATCTTTTACATTTGTGATAGCCTTGTTCAAAAACTTTAATTAGTTTTAGGACGTACCTGCATAAAACTGTACCTACCTTCATAAAATTGTATTATTATAAATGGCTTAAAACTAATGTTGTACCTACTAGTGTAATTCATTATTTTTGTATTTTTTTAGTCGGTTATAGGCTAACATGTTTTGTCTATGGTTATAGGTATCCTAAATAAACGTAATATTGAAATAATATTTAATTAACATTGTTTTGTGAAATTTGAAGACCTTTAAGGTTGGATATCCCTTGATTACCCCAAGTTTCCACTAAATATTTTAAATGTGACCACTAAGAAGTTATATAATAAGTATATTTTAGGAGCTGACTCCATATAGGTCCTTACGGGTGACCATAATGAAAGATTGCACAACTTTTAAGACATATTTATTATAGAGGAGCGTGTAATACAGTTGGTGGGCAACTAGCAAAGAGTATAGTAACTGTCCTATGGCTGATTTTCTTAGTACTAAACAGAGAGATACAACATTACTACGTATACATATATGTGGTAGATAGGTACAACCACGGAATATTAAATTTTTACTTGTTTTTTATATTCCGTGGGTACAACATTACTAAGTATACACACGCATGTATACTTAGTAATGTTGTACCCACGGTGCAGCACACCTACAATATAATAACGGAGTTGTTTAGGCAAACTTACGCAAAGCCTACGTCAAATAAGTGATTTTATGCTTAATATATTCAATAAGTGCCTTCCGTGTAGGTTCACTATCAAGTATTACAAGTTAATGTTTTATTCAAATTTCTGATTTTTTGCTGATGAAACTATTGAGGATATTTCAACATATTATCTAATATCTATGTTAATTGTGAGTAAGTTGCATTGGAACCAGTATATTATATCATGTAATAAAACGTTACAAAATGCCGATAATATATAATTGGAACAATGAATTTAAATCTGATGTATGAAGGCGGTAAATTGTAAAACAAATTACCTAAGGCCATAAAAGATGTTGAATATGTTCAATTTTATGTTAAAGAAAATATCATTTGTTTCTTTCATTTACAAAACAAATAATCTATATGTTTCTTAATATCTTAAGAGTTAATGAATCCAAATGTTATGTCATTTAAGAACATAATCGGAAAAAGATATAGAGAAACATAAGAAAAGATAGACCAAAACCACAGTAATGATTTCTTATATTTACGCGAACACTACACATTTTAATAAAACTAATTTTACAAACTTTATCGCGGATATTAACTGATTTTACATTCCCGACGTTTCAAGCACTTTACAGCACCCATGGTCACGGGGGGGACTGAGGTGTATGACGTATAACTTTTAATCTGGAGGTAGCCGTGGTTAACTATGACATTGGGGCGTCATACACCTCAGTCCCCCCCGTGACCATGGGTGCTGTAAAGTGCTTGAAACGTCGGGAATGTAAAATAAGTTAATATACGCGATAAAGTCCGTAAAATTAGTTTTATTTAACAAAACCACAGTAATCAGTTAAAAAAACTGGTGTTGTATTATACAGCAAATCAATGAGTTTCTGCCAAAAAAAGTAGACTGGCAGTTACTCCACCGACAAGAATACAATAAATATAACTGACTTAGGAATTTTATGGCAAAGAGTACGAGTAGGTATAGGATATAGTCTCATATATGGCAACAGTATCCCCAGTAAAAACAGAAGCCTGAGGAGGACATCTATAATTAGGGACAATTTTACATTTGGGAATTTAGAATACATCACCGATACATTTAGACTGAGACAGTTTAGGAACATCAGTAATAATTAAAAATTAAAAATTTTGTACAGACGACTTAAATATAAATTATTGAAAATAACTCAAAAACTATTGGTCTGACCTTGATCAAATTAATATGGGACCACATGTGAGGTACCAGCTTTCAAATAAAAAAAGAATTATCGAAATCGGTTCACCCAGTAAAAAGTTATGAGGTAACGCACATAAAAAAACACACAGTCGAATTGAGTACCGTCTCGTTTTTGAAGTCGGCAGAATAGAGTAGAATTAATGATTAAACGAACTTACCTTAAGTGTAGTTCTATCATAATTATACTTTGTGCTTCGTCCTTCTAGATTAGTAGCTGGAACTTATTAAACACACGTTGAGAATGAGAACAGGAAGTATCAAAATCCCGCCGACAAACTGTTACGCAGTTTGGTGGGTGTGAAAAATATACTAAAGGTTTGGTCCAAAATAAATGATTTATTATTATTATATTATTATTATTAATTGTGGAGTCATCATTTGCGGATCTTATCACTCAGCATATGAAACACATTGGTATTATTCCTACGCCATATGCCACCGTAGTATTACACGCTGGTATTCTGTGCGGGCGTACTCGTAGTCCTTCCCCGGTCGAATCGAACCAGTCGCAAATCCATAATACGCTGTAGCGTGACTCTACCACATGTACAATATTATTTCGTTTCGTGAAGTATAAATTAATAAATTAAGATTTTTGATCATTAGTCGCATAACATTAAGACTTGAAATAGGTTATACCAATATGCTGGTACCAAATTACTATGGTAATTTTATTTTGTTATAACAGCTATGGACTCCGTATTTTCACACCCACTATTCTTTGAATGTTTATAACTTCTAAAATTAGAAAACATCAAAGATATAAAATTAAAATTCAGCCCTTAATCTTACTGCAGTGATTAGCGTCTTGAGATATTGTATTGATATGATTTCAAAACTCGGAAACATCTACCGACAATTCAGTTTTACAGAATTGAGAAGATCTCGACAAAAGCCGCTAATGAAGTGAAAATTCGAGCTTAGCCATCTTTAAATTACGACAAATGGCGAATTCTATTGTGAAGTACATTGTAACGATTTTCAAAAATAAAGAATGTAAAATCATAATTACTTTTTTAAATATTTTATATCTCTAGAAAAAATTATGAGCACAAAACTGCGGTACCGAGGTAAGTATTACGATAAATTAGTTAACTAACAATTCCAGTGTTGTATTTAAGTACTGTGTGATTTTGAGATAGTGACAATATTCAGTAAATTTACTAGACAGATTTTCTCATAGGGAAATTTACGTATAGTGGAATGATACTGTATGCATTTTAACGTTATTATTATACTATATATGATATTAATAATTTAAAAATAAGCATAATAAATACCGTGTAGTGGCGGTGAAAGAATATCCACTACCCCCAAATCGTCCCAAGGGTGTCGTTAGAGGTGACAGAGGAAAAATAAAACAGAAGATGGGCAGCAGTTTGTTCCTCTCAAAATAATAAAACAAAGAAAACTGCTATAACTATGGAACAATTATATTGTCTATGTTCAGCAGTGAACTTTTGTTAAACTAATGATGTTGATGATGATGATAATAAAAATACTGATCCTTGTTCATTTTCGTATTTATTTTTTACGAAAACTTCTAAGATCGCATTTCGGTGTCACGCTACAGAAATGAACATTGCCTATCCTTTTTGTCTACATAGGTACTACTACACTTGTTAATTATACTATTACCTTCCAATACGATGAGGAAAATGTATATCTAAAATTTCCCTAACCTAATTAAGAAATAGCAGTTGTTGACCTTGCTATTTGATAGCGATGGAAGGAATTTCTTCAATTTATCTCGTGACACAAATCATAAAAATAGACTAATTAAATCGATTTTATATATATTTATCAAAACATAAACACTCACGCCTGTCACCCAGAGGGGTAGGCAGAGACTACGGACTTCCATTTGGCGCGATCCTGACACACCTCTCTCGCCTCTTTTACATCCATATATCTACGCATACACGCTCGTCGGTTAAGGGTACTCCTAATCTGGCCCATTTTTAATGTATCGCCGATTTGGTCGATAAACCTTCGTCTAGGGCGTCCCTTCTCGACCCTGCCGTTCACTATATTCACTATATTTATCACTCATTCAGAAAATTATTTATAAAAAATATTCTTTGCATTTAGAAATGAAGCATCATAAACTAAAAGCGCTGAATGGTAATAATATTAGAAACGTAACATAGAAAGAGTAAAAGATAATAACAATGTATGAATATATAGTTCGGAATATATAACTAACACAAGTATGATGAAATAAAATAACTATTAAAATATAAGAAGAGCGTAGAACATGAGCAATATAATATTGAACTTAGTTTAAAAGATAAAAAGGAAGTAAATTACGTGACAAACCATTTATTGATAATCTGCATCTAAAATTAATGAGTGTAAGTAAATGTGTGTTTTTGTAACAAAGGTGAGAGTAGTAAAAATATATAACATAACTGAGAAATCACCATGCTCTTACAGAACTTTAACCTAATTTAGTATAAAATTTACTACGTTTGGCTCAACGACCGCTTGGCTAATTGCAATCGAATCAAACTAAATGTGCTAGTGCAGTAAGCGAATTCACCAACTCATATCGTCCCGTGCGTTGTGCGTGCGTGTCGTAGGATACAACTGTAGGAAATA